TGCCTGCTCCGCCCCCTGGGACCCGCGCCCCTCCCCAGGCGCAAGCTTATCAGCCGGGAACACCGACTGTTTCACACACGCCCTTGCTAGTCCTTAGAAAGCCCCGCCCCCCCGCGCGCGCACACCACGCCCGCCCCCCGAGGCGCGCTCTCGCCAGCCCAGCGACACGTGCTCGCTGGAGGGCGGCGCTAGGGGCCGAGCCGACAAGATGTTCTTTTTGCTGCCTCTTCCGGCTCTCGGGCGAGTAGCTGTCCGAAGCCTGATCGGGAAACGTTTCTGCAACCGGAGTTTCGCCGCCGCAGACATGACGAAGGTGAGAGACGGCGGTTTTCTCCGGGGCAGCACGGGAAGCCCTACCTGCGGGTGCCGGTGCTTGGGGCGGTTCGAGGCCATGGGGCTCGGGCTTCTGCGCCAAGTTGTAAAATCCGTTTAAAAAAAAGTTCGCTCCTCAGGCCTGGCGCAGCCGTAGCAGGAATCCCTCGCGGCTTCCCAGCCGGCTGTTCTCCGAGGGTGCGCGCTCTCCTTTTTGTGATTCGAAAGGTGATCGCCACAGCGCCCATTTTCTGAGATCTCACTCTGCTTTCCTTGGTTTCATTTTCTCATTCACTCCTCGCAGTAACCCTAGGCAGGCCCGTGCCAGGATTGTTCCCATCTCAGCTAGGAGGAAACCCCACTTTGGCAAGGCGACATCTCTTCTAAGATCGCCAGGTTAGCCAGGGGCAGGGCCAACCCCCCACGACCCGCTGGAGGGAAAAGGCCGGGGACACAGATCCTCCGGGAGCAAAGCGCCAGGAAGGGATTCTAGAGAAAAAAAAACGTCTTTGTGGGGAAAAGGGCTTTTGCAAATAGACCCACCTCTGTGAGATGAAAAGGAGCATGTCCTCTAGAAGAAAAGCATTCTCATCTCATTGAGCCCGAGGGATTAATGAACAGTCACTTAAAGAAAGGCGGATTGCTTATTGGGACAGAGCCCAAGCTTGGCATGCATGCTTGAGGACTCAAACAAGTGACTGGTGAGGAATGTTCCTATCTAGGCCTTGAGCCCAGGCCATCGCAGGTGGCCAGACACCTGTTCAGCGCTCTTTTCAATGCAGTGCCGTGACCCGCCAGGTAACACTCCGTTTTGTTTCCCAGTTGCTTCCATGAAATCTTGGGGAATGGGCAGTCCTAGGGGGAAGTTAGAACCTGGAAAAGTTCCCAACGTCTAGGAAGACTATACACCTTATGGAGAAGACACCAGTGGATCTAAATATCAGTGTGATTTTGTGGAGAGACAGATCTGGGCCGTAAAGCATCCAGACAAAATCTCCCTGTGCCCCACCCTGCAGCCTCAAGTGGGACTGTGACTACTGGTTCTTTCTGCCTCAGAGTTGCCATAAGCCAAACATAAAACATTTTTGAAGTCGTTGGTTGCCTTAAAGGCAAACAGTGAGTAGTAGTTTCACTTCCTTGTGTTTCAAATGTTTGGTGCACGAGGCTTGTGAAGGAGAGGAAGGGGTCAACTTTCCCTCCCTGTCAAGTTGCAGACTTTTCTCTCCCTCTCCCTCTCTCCCTCTCTCCCTCTCTCCCTCT